GGAGGAGGAGGAGGAGGAGGAGGAGGAGGAGGAGGAGGAGGAAGGTAAATGGAGGAATGATTAAGGGAAAAAGCCAAAGGATGATAGAAAATGATAAACAAGCAAGGACACGACGAAATAATATAAAAGAAAAACTTAGAGACAATAGTTAGAAGTGGAAAAAAGACCTGGTATTTATATTAGAGGATCCATTGGAGTCAGCACCTAAACTGATAGAAATGATAGAAGAGTATGAGAAAGTAGCAGGTTTGAAAATAAAGATAAAACAAAGATTTTAGCAAAGAACTTGTTAGGAAGACAAAAGAAAGAATTGGAAGTTTTGGGGATCCAGATCACAAACTAGGTTTAGTATTTAGGCATACATATAAAAGCAAGATGTGGCACGATTAAGGAGGACAATTATCTCAAAATTAAACAACAGATTGCAACAGACTTGATAAAATGGGAAAATTTACAATTATCACTGATTGATTGAATATCCGCAATTAAGATGAATGTATTGCCTAGAATCTTATACTTATTCCAGACAATTCCAATCAGATTAGGGAAAGAATTTTTTGAAGATTTAAACAAAATAGTGCTAAAATACAGTACATTTGGCAGGGGAAGAAAGCGAGAATAAATCTTAAATTGCTACAAGATGCAAGAATAAGAGGAGGATTTGCTTTGCCCAATTGGGAATTATACTACCAAGTGACAAGAAGGACATGACTTGCGGTTAGGATGGCATGCCTTCCTCTGGGGAATTTCCTCAGGGGTATTTTAGAAGAGATTATATTCGTGAAGCACTGTTTCTAAACTGGGAGAAGATAACAAAGCAATATTATTTAAAAATTCCACTATGGTTATCTACTATTGAAACTTTTTCCTATTCAATAATATGTAAAAAGGAAGAAACAGTTAGATATGGTGAGATATTGAATGAAAAGGGTGAACTTAAATCTTTGTAAGCGTTGGAATAACAAGGTGTAAAAATGAATTGGTTTTCATATTTGCAAATACAATCTAAATTTGACAAAGATGTTAAAACAGAAGGCATCTATGATAAGTTGACTGATTTAGATAAAATTTTGAAAGGTACTGATGAAAAAGTAAAAAAAAAACTTTATGGATATTTGCTAGAGTTTAAATTAGAGGAAGAACAAGTAAAAGAAACAATGATGGCTTGGGGGAAAAATTCGGGTATGGAATTGACTTAGACAAATGGCAACTTCATATAAAGAAAATTTTTATAAGATGTTTTACAGGTGGCACTTACCCCGATGAGAATTGCAAGAATGTTCAAGAATAAATTGAATAAATGTTGGAAATATCATCAGATACCTGGTTCACATTACCACATGTGGTGGACATGCTCGGATGCAAAAAGATATTGGACTACAATCCACACATGGTTGGAAAAATGACAAAACAGCACATAGACTTTAAAGCTGAGATATTTTTATTGGGGATTATACCGGAAATATATTGTAAAGAATTGAAATATTTGATTGTAAATGTTTTAACAGCGGCTAGAATTGTATTTGCTAAGAATTGGAAAAATGAAAAAATACCTATGCAAGAGGAAATTACTAAGAAAATCATGGACTATGCCGAAATGAGTAAATTGACATTTGAAATTAGAGAACAAGAGGATAAACCGTTTTATATGATGTGGGATTTATTTTATCAATGATTAGATAAAAAGACATGGTAAAAAAATAGATTAGTAAGCCTTACAATAAAAGTCAATAGATTGATATAGAATACAGTATAAAATATATAACCATTGGATGAATGTATAAGATTAAATCATAATGAAAATTAGAATATCTCATAGGAAATGATGGAAAAATAGTCAAATGATTGTTTAATAATTGATAAGCTAGATCGATAAGGTGAGAATTTATATAACTTGTGAGCAATGGTAAAAAAAGGATAGCAGAAAAGATTGGAATCAACTGACATACTGTATGTATATAATTGAAAGAGTGTTTTAGGTTTTAGGTTTTGTTCGTATGTTTTGCTATAAAAAATAGAAACTTTGTTTAAAAAAAAATAAAGGAATAAAATAGAAAAAAAAATAAAAAAAGAAGTGGAATAGAGCGAGACTCTACATGATGAGGTGTTATGACTCCCCTTCAAAATTTAAACGAACAAAACAGAAAGCAGCCGTTTCACAATTAAATCAAACGGAAAGAAGTCTTACAAGATAACGGCTGGCAGAAACCACAGCATAAATCTTTACTCTGTCCGGCAAACCAGTCCTGGCAATAAATCCTCAGCCTCAGAGCTCTTTGCTGTAACGTCCTCACTCACATAGTTATTTTGTTCCTGGCGAAATGTACCAGCCCAGCTGTGTCCTTTTATACTCATTAAGACAACGTGCTAATTTACTGACTTGCTCTCCTCATTCGCTCCAGCTGATTTTGCTTTTTCAACCGTCTTCTATTTTTTACATTTAACCACAAATTTTCCAAGTTCTCATCTCCACCAGAAGACTCTCTCAAAACTTCCCTGTCAGCCATTCCCGGCTGTTGATCAGATAAGGAACCAGAGGAGGTCAAAGGTCCTGACAATTCTAATACATCAGGTCTGTCATCCTTTGCCATGTCCATCTCCTCATCCTGGTTATCAGTCCAATCAGTAAGCCAGGCTGGCTTATATCGTTCTGCCATGACCTCTTCACTTGAACTCATATCAATCACAGGAGCTGAATCCAAGCCCGGAGCCACAACAATGAGGTATATTTGTAGTAAAACATATATAATAGATTTTGAGGAGATGGGATTAAGAATTAGAATAAGAAGGAATTATTTAAATGTAATAGATATGAAAATAAGAACTTATAATAGATTAATTAAGTAAAATAGACAAATGTTTATGTAAGATCTAAGTGATTAGTAGATAAAATATGAAAAGAAACGTTTTGTGGAGCCTGACAGAGAATAGATATAACCATGTAGTAGTATAATATTTTAAATGAATTATATATGTGCTGTCCAGCCAGTGAATGAGAATTGGATAGTTAGGTAGCAATTGTGAGCTGTCCCCTAAGGGAATGCATCATGGTAAATGTAGTTAAACAGCTGTAATCCTGATTGGTCCTGATACAGACCACATCTGTAATCCTGATTGGTCACTAATTTGACCCTGGATGGGTTGGGGGAGTTTCCTCACTTTTTGCCTGAACTCCCTAACTCATGGCAGTTGCTTTCTATCGCTAGGAGATGCGTTAGGAGATAACCATCTTTTATTACAAGGCAGATATGCAAAGGATTGGTCATTAAAGAAGGACCTCATCACAAATGTGATTTATGAGGATACCCGATGAACCAATAAACGTACTTTCTTATGGACGTCTTGTTGAGTTTATCTATCTGCCTCTGCACAGATATCCACTACTGTGCTGAAGACAGAAAAATATATTTGGTTATTTATATTCTGAGGTTCTCGTGGGTATTTGTATGTGGATCTTTGGCTGTTCGGGTTTTCTCCCGCGTAAGATTCGAAGTATCTAGGCAACGTTTCAATGAAGTCTCATTCATCATCTTCAGGCTTCTGTCTCCGGCTCTGTGCTTCTCAGAGTAATGTGAGATTGCAGTTGCTTCTTCCTTTTAACTGCCAGTGGGGGTGGGACTTGATTCGGTGGGGGCTTGGCTGTATTCTGATTGGGTGGGCGGGTGTTCTCATTGGTAGGGGGTTTGGCTGTGTTCTGATTGGTTGGGGGGTTAGCCGTGTTCTGATTGGTTGGAGGCGTGTTCTGTTCAGGTGGGGGCTTGGTTGTGCTCAGGTTAGTCTTAGTTGCTGGGGGATTTGAGCTGGTGAGTTGTGATCTTGCTGTTTGGCTTCTAGTTCATGGTCCTGCTGCATCTTCATAGTGGGTGTCGGTTTGCTTCATGTATGGCTCGGAGGGGTTTAAAGTGGGTAGTGATGCAGCTGCAGTGCAGCTTCTGGTCCATGGTCGTGTCTCATCTTCTGGGTGGGTGGGAGTCTGTTTTCTACATGGAAGTATGGTGGTGGCATCTTGTGTGGCTCTCATGGGTGTGGGTCTGGTGTCCTTCTTCATGTTAGGTACTTGTCTGTTCATGAGGGCGGGTTTCCAAATGGCTGGAAGGCGGGAGGTGTCATCTCGTTTGTTCATGCTGTGTGGGCATTTTTCTATCTCTATGGCTTCTCTGATTATTCTGCTGTTGAAGTGTTCGGTTTTGGCGATGGTTCTGGTATTTTTAAAATCAATTTCATGTCCTGTGGCTTTGAGGTGTTGGACCAGGGAAGAGGTCGTTTCTTCTTTTTTGATTGAGTTCTTATGTTCTTCAATGCGTGCACTTATTCTTCTGTTAGTTTGTCCAATGTATGTGGTAGGGCAGGCAGTGCAGGGGATTTCGTATACTCCTTGGTTTTCTAATTCGATTTTGTCTTTGGGGTTTCTTAGGATAGTGGATATTTTTCTGTTTGTGCAGAATGCTGTTTTGATGTTGTGTTTTTGGA